TTTTTTTCTTTTCTTTATTCCTTGTTTTTTCTCTCGTTTAGTTTTCTTTTCTTCAAGGATAGAACTAAGATCAACTAAGGTAGTTTTTTTATTATTTTTATAGATTGTATATTTATCGTATTTATATGGAACTACAAATAAATGTTATCATTATTAATATTATAAGATGCAAACCATTTATCAGTAATACCCTCATACCATAGAGATGAAGTTTCCTGAGCAGAATCTCGTGATTAACACAGTCAAATGCTTTAGAGCAAGGGTCTCCAAACTACGGCCCGCGGGCCAAAATATTGAAATTGACCTGACGTTTTGTACTACCAAAAAGACACTTAGCCGGTAATTCATTTGGTTTACCCCATGGTTGTAAGGGGTGGAAAACGCAACCCCTAAAATTTATTTCCAGTGTAACTTTTTGTCTTATTATTTATTCACCGTTTAAAAATCCATTTCCGATAGCCTGTTTCATTCTGAAAAAAAATGTCTCGTGGTTTTTTGCCCAAAATAAACCAGTTTGCAGCAAAAAATTATTTTATGAACCACTGCAGAGATACATCGTCATTAATACGAAAATACGAAACTAATCTATCTAATAGGTCGCTATTAGCGATAGTGACAATTAAATTGGTATCACGCTGTCAGTTTGTGAATTTTCGAAATTGAATTAATACTGATTGTGGGTTGTTGTTCTGTTCTTAATTTGTTACTTTAATAATTCACTTGTTATTAAAATGGCATACACAAATGAGGGAATGGCTGATATGCATTATGTTCACGGTCTGTCGCAGGGGAATGGGTTAGAAGCTTCTAGAAGATATTCTGAAATGTATTCTTAACGGCAGCATCCTTCATTTGCTTTCATTTGCTCGACTTCATCCTACTACCTACTAACAACCTACTACCAGTACTAGAAAGATTGCTTTCCAGCTAAATGTTGATCATATGACGGTATTTCGAATTTTAAAGGAACAACTCTCATACCCTTACTATCTGCAACGAGTACAGGCACTGTTACCGCGAGACTTTTCGAACCGTCTTGAATTTTGTAATTGGATGCTGGAAATGATTAGAAGAAATTGTGACTTTCTGAAAACGATAGAATTCACAGACGAATGCAGTTTTTTTCGAAACAAGATTATTAATTTTCATAATTACCACATATGGGCTGATAAAAACCCCTCACGCTATTGTCGAAACTAACCATCAAGAACATTTTTCTCTTAAAGTGTGGCTCGGAATTATTGGGGATGGTTTAATTGAGCGTCATTTTCTACCTCCTCGATTAAATGGTGAAGTATACGTTCAATTTTCAAGAAAAAAAAAAAGAAAAGTGCATCCAGTATTGCTGGAGGAAGTTCCTCTGAAACATAAACATATGCAAATCGGTGGATAGGTCGAGGAGGATCACAGAAGTGGCCCGCTCGATCCCCGGATCTCAATCCTCTCGATTCCTCTATTTGGGGCCATTTACAGCATTTGGTTTATCGTACTCCTGTTCGCGATGTAGAGGGCTTAAGAAACCGCATCATCGATGCGTGCAGGGTAATCAGAGAGATTCCAAGAATATTTGAGCGAATACGTGGCTCAATGCGCCGACGTCTAGACGCATGCGTAATGTCTGAAGGTAGACATATTGAACATTTACTATGAT